GTCCACCGTCATAATATTTCACAACCTGGACGTTTTCCCCTTCCGGACGCCCGTTTCCGTCATGTTCACATAGACTTAGTTGGACCTCTTCCACCGTCTCGTGGTTTTACTTATGTCCTAACTTGTGTGGACCGCTTTACTTGTTGGCCTATGGCAGTACCTATTAAAGATGGTCTCGCTGAAACTGTTGCCCGCGCGTTTATGGAATCATGGATTTCCTTATTCGGTGTTCCCAGTTCTATTACATCTGATCGCGGTGCACAATTTACGTCTTCCTTGTTTCAAGATCTAAACCGCCTTCTTGGACGCAAGCATTTTCGTACTACAGCATATCATCCAGCATCTAATGGTTTGGTTGAGCGTTTCCACCGTCAATTGAAATCAGCCACTATTGCGAAAGCTGCCTCGAACCACTGGTCTGACTCATTACCACTGATTTTGTTAGCTATTCGGAATACGGTAAAGGAAGATATTGACTCCCCGCCAGCAGAACTTGTATTCGGTACAACTTTGCGTCTGCCTGGTGAAATGGTCACCAACTCTGACAACACTACTGAGTTCCCATCTTCATCTGATGTCGATCAGTTAAAGTACTACATGAAGGAAATTCGACCAACCCCGACAAGAATGTCCTCACGAGAAGCACGGATCCAAACAAGTTTGCTTACCTCTCCTTATGAATTTGTCCGCGTTGATGGTGTTAAAAAACCCTTGCAACCACCCTATGATGGCCCCGTTAAGGTGATAGAAAGTGCCGACAAAGTTTTCACAATTGACAAAAATGGTGCGCTGGATACTGTGAGCGTTGATCGTCTCAAAGCTGCTTATACACACGACACCAATGTTCCTTCCACATGCTCAAGCAACGACGAACTCGCTCTGCAATCTGCCGTCTCCCCACCCTGCCCAACATCCCGTTTTGGACGACCCCTAAGACCCGTTGTTCGTTTTGTTGATTCCGTTCGATTATTTTCGAGCGTTTACTGTTTCACAACCAGCGCTCTCGGTGGGGGAATATTTGTAGCGGAGTCACAGCGATCGCGCCTGAGTGAACCCTGGTTACTGACCTGACGCTGACAATGACTCATCCCCTATCCATTGGTCACTGTATCAAATGCCTGTCATCGTTCGCTCATCCACACACTAAGACACGCTTGGCCGACGTGAGACTAATACACGGTCGTGTTCTCTATCGCCTCTCTTCTCTCCATTCTCGGGTTGTTACGGGCTGTTAACTAGAGGGTTGTAAGGTGGTGCTTAGACCACAAGCCACTACAAGCTGTTTGGGATGCGGTTTGTCCCTAAGACCCAAATCATCACTTCTAGAACGCTTTTACCAATAATTACATGTGTTGAGGGCCCCGGCATATTGTCTTGAACCACGCCGGGGCCACTGCGATTATCTAGGCCCAATACGTTACCCTGCGTTCCCGCGAAAATATAGAAGACCGGAGTGGGGAAGGCACAACCGTTTACTAGACCGCTCAACCAAGTTGTGTCGTGTACAATTACGGTTCAGTGGACATGTACAAAAACACACTGGCTCTGTGAGGTCACATGAATAAAGCTGGTGGTGGGACATGCACAGGGGTTAAAGGACCAATGGCCTCACGTGACTGACGGGCAGGTTGTGAACAGAGGGGACATGTGTGAGGCTGCGACGACTGGATGTTTAACGTGAATCAACACCATTCACTACACATGTTTCATAGCACACAACGTCGGCACCGAGAACATTACAAATTGATCTCGTGCTTTCAAAGCATTTTGGTCTTCCTGGAGTTCGTATGAAATGTAGTGCCATAGAATGTACTATTTATCAGTTGCCATCGTACACTCTGCTGTTGTGAGAGGTTATGTAGCTGACGTAGACTTGCCATTGGGTGTTCTGAAATCTTGCGTTCGATCCTTTTAAAGCCACAATTGTCGACCAATATATATTTCCTTGTTAGATACAATTTTAAGCTCGAAGAAGAAAGTCGCAAAAATTAATTCATACACCCGAGAAAGATGAAATATAAGTAATCACCGAGTTAGAATGGGCCAAAATTCCAGCTTCTCTCACCAAAAGAACCCTTTGGGTCAAAGGGAAGTTTGAGTCTTCAAGCAAACGCCTGCGCTATATCGTAGAGTTTCCATCCACTTAGTTTCCATAACTGAGTATTCAGTCAATATCCGTGACTGAGGTCGTAAAACAAGCTCGTGGCGTTTCACAGGAAACACTAGACTTTCAGAGAAGTCATACAGAGGCGTCCTAACGATGACTGAAATTATGAAAGCTATAATTGTGATGATATAATTAGTTCACTAAGCCGCATTCTCGTGCGAAAGGGAGTTCTGCACGAACAGTGCGAGCTTGGACCAGGCTAGTCGAGAGCAGAGCCGCGTTAGAAGACTGACCTGAGGGTTGACTAATTCGTTAAAGCATTTTACGCCGATATTGGTGGATACACTCCTTGGAGTTGGGACAATCGCAGAACTCGTGTCTGCCATTTGAATCCAAGCATCCACCACAGCACTTCGGTACGTGCCCGTCAATTCAACACCATCACGAAATGAGAATTGTTTATGACGACTCTAACGAAGTCAAGTGACGCAACGCAACAAAACAGAGTAACATAAAACACCAGTAAAACCAATCCCCTAACTTTTGCACCACGACACCACCAGAATGACCTGTAGCAAAGAACTTAAACGACCGACGGCTCCTCCAGCCCCCCTTCCAATAGCACAACAGCCAAATCCTTACACGCCCGGTAATAACACGCCATCGGCTAGTTCACAAGGACTTTATTTAACAGATCACACCTTCGCGTCACCTGACGTCTTTGATGCCTCCTTAGCTTTTGCAGACAACTTCGACTTCTTATGCTTGCGTCTCACAGTCGTGTTATTTTGGGCAACACGAGCATTGTGTTCGGCACGGGCATTGGGATTCAATTTAATAAGAACGTACAAGATAACGAATAGCGACGACAGCAATTGCAAGCATACCTGCATATTCTTCAACGGGTTCTTTTTCACATTTCGCCGTTTCCGATGGCAACCCATGCGTTTTGGACGAAGTACATTACGAACGGCACGACTTGTCAGAAGTCGATTCAGGTCCGTATTGGCCATTTTCGAAGATGGCAAGTGAAAGCCCTTCTTGAGGGTGCTTCCCGTTTTCCATGTGCCATACAATTTGTCCAAGGACCGGAAAGCACCTTCAGTCAAAATGGTGAATCTTCCCATATGCCCACCAGGCGCGAGCTTGAGAATATTCGAGTACTTGACGTTCACCAACGTCACGCCGGGTATATTACGGAAGGCACGTGTCACGCCGTCGTCCTTCTTGTAGACAACAATTGGACCACGTTTCAGAACATCCCTACGGTTTCGCATCTTGCTTCTCCCAGCACAATACCGTTTGGACTGATAAACCTTCTGGATATCAGACCACGCCCGGAGTTTCTTCAGAACCTTAACTGCCTCCTTCATCTTCTTCAGCTTCTCCACTTCTCCGGAAACAACGAGTGGAAGTTTCGGAACACGATCTACCCGATGCCAACGCGCCATCACTAGGGCAGGAACAACCGTAGCGGCGATGGCTGAGCACATGGTAAAACGCCTTTGTTGGATATTCACGCGGCGATACCAACGCCTCCACACCTTTGTTAGGGCATTCATGTGACCACCGCGACACATGTTGCCGAATGCGCCCTGACCTGACCGGTGCGTACCACCACCACGTACCGGCGGGATACGCGCAACAGCTCGACCAGTGCCCCACGACTCCGCCGATGTCTGGTGACCAGCCTTAGCGCTAATGGCGTAAGGCTGGCGTGAATTCTTTAATAGACTATCGTGAACAAAGTTCACCACATCATTACGCATTGGCGCCTTGAACACGGCCGGCATTTTGATAGAGGATTTTGTGTAAGCGCCGGACAAGTCGTAAGCATTAACAAGCGGCCTGCAGGCAGCCTAAAACAACCCATAAAGCAAACACTAACAACCCATCATCTCAACCTTTAATGCTAAAAACTTGCAGTTAATCGACAGCTACTGTTCGACGCTTGTGGTGTAGCGGAACGACAGGCGGCAGCCATATTGGTGACGGTAGTGAGCACGGCGTGGAGGTGACATCACGTGACCGGTGGTGCGACTTCCGGCTGCGTGGTGGCGTGCGGGCATTGAATGACGCGCCGGGGGATGGGAGCCAATCCGCTCACGACTTTTCCGTCTCCATTGTAGCGACGCGCAACGGATCAACGGGAGAACAGGAAGAACAGGACAAGGATATATAAAGCCCCTGTTTTCCCCATAAGGACCGACCTGTTCCTGACTAGATTGTGGTTGTTTCGGCCTTCATTAAAGTACTCCCTTTTGCCTTACTCTCTCTTATTCACCATACCATGGGTCGGAAACGTACAGTGGCGACGGATCAGGGCGCAGACATGTTGGACCACCTGGCCGCAGCCAATCCTGTGTCTCCCTGCGTTCCATTGGCATCCGAGGAAGATAAGCAGCCAACCAGAGAAGGACACTTATGAGGAGCAGTATAAAACGAGTGGCGTGGCCAGCGTGGCTGACTCGGATGGAAGGCGCCTGACGTGTGGCCCTGGCTTCTGATTGGTCAAGAAAGCCTGTTCTGTTGTACCGGTCTTTTTCCTATTAGGGCTCGGGTATTCTACAATGCGTACACCCTGTGGCGTCGGATCAGGGTTCAGACATGTTGGACCACCTGGCCGCAGCCAATCCTGTGTCTCTCTGCGTTCCAATGGCATGCTAGGAAGATAAGCAGCAAACCAGAAAATGACACGAATGAGGTGCAATATTTAATGAGCGGCGTGGCCAGCGTGGCGGACTTGGATGGAAGGCGCCTGACGTGTGGCTCTGACTTCTGATTGGTCAGTAAAGCCTGTTGTATTGTACCAGTCTTATTCCTATTAGGGCTCGGTTATTCTACAACCCTAACAGAGCAATGGCGAAATGTGAGGCGCCTCCAACAACTCCCAGGTATTTAAACAACAACAGCTATTTGAAGTCTCTTCACTGTCACCTAATATTACTTTTGTGTAATTTACTTATGTCTTTTTTATTGTTTGTACCTAAAAGAAATTTGCTTACAAAACATGATTGGAGGAAATGAATACAATTCTATCACATTACCTTCGTGTTTGTTTTCTTACTGTGCCAATCCTGCATTTTTTGCGTACGCAAATACTTTACTATAATGTACACTATTAATTGCATATCTTACAAATCTTAATATTTGTTTCTACGTGGCAATAATTCATTTTTTAATTGTGTTGACTTTTTTCATAAATTAAGCAACATTAAAACAGCGCATAATGAATGGAGGCAGGTGATGCCTGTAAAGTGGAAAAAAATCGAAGTCGGAAAACATTATAATGACTGTACTGAAATGAAGACATCCAGGTGCAGCGAGTGTAAATACCTAAGAATGCAGTTTCTAAAGATTGGCATGCTTTACATGCCCCTATGATGACAGCGACCATTCACATCCGAATGCGATCTGCACTGTAGAGATACAGTGAGCGGATGAGCCTGAACGGCGTTGGATCGTGTGGTGGTGGTGGGTTGGCACCAACTTGAGATGTTTCCTTTTTATTGAAATTAAACAACTACAAATTTGCTCTCACCAGCCCCAGCTGTCACTTTGTTCTTGCGGGTACACTTGATGTTACGTTGCAATGATGTTAAGTCAGCATTAGGTGTCATTTCATGGCAGGAAGATTAGCTTCATGTGGAATACTTGTAAGAGCCAACTGTGGAAAAGTCAGTGCTCGACGAGGAGGTATGCAATCCCACGCAGTGTCATTAAACCAGTCAACTCGAACACAATTAGACAAATGAGATAGAGGTAATGGTAGACTGAGATGGCGACTGATCGTTGACGGCTAGTGTCTTGGGCTACTTCGTCGATCTCTGGCAATCTTCAATCCCCCATAAAACGTACAAGCTCAATAGGCGATCCGGCGCTTTTGCACACCTTTCATGCTAACCATCGCCAACTTTCTGCTTTGGATATAGTGTGCCTGGAATGAAGCTGTGTCCTTGACCTCCGATTCCAAATCCAATTTTCATCACATAAGCTCTCTTTAGACCGAACTTGTGTGCACTCTGCTTGATGGCACTCATGTTAATGCACAGTTAGCAGCATTTTCTTACTTTGATTTTTCATATTTGTTGACTGTGTTTGTGATGCCGTCATTGCGTTTTGCCTCCAGAATTTAGTTCCAGATTTGACGAAGTGAAAGCTTCAAAGACACATGCGCAAGACCGCGAGACATCTTTGAATAACCTATATCAAATCGGTGTAATGACTGCTCCCTAAACACCAATCAACCGACGCCGACATCCATGTGTATATACCAACGACCGCAACACGTGAATCCAACTCCAGTTCTACATCGCTCAATCTGACATTAAGCATAAATCATGCACTCTGAACTACATTCGTTCTCACTACTGCAGCAGCCATCATCTCACATTACCCACCAAACACTACATCAACGCATGCTTCCGAAATTAACTCCGACTTTACCCATGCACCCATAAGTTAATAATAAGCACACGTTTCTACTAATTCCCATAGAGTGGGAAACAGATTAGTAAACCCACGAATCACACACAACGGACTTCATTCCTTCCATCACCTATGCCTAACCAACTCAGATCTCACTTTAGAGAGTACATGCACTTTTCTCGCCAGCCACAACCTGTGCCCAAAGTGATATGTCCTGCCAATCATTAGTCATCACAGCACGCTTACATACAGCTTGGTGCTGTCTAACAGGACATTTACAATCTGCCTTCACTGAACCCAATTCGGTGCATTTCACGCATATTACAGCTGCGCGTCGAGACAAATTCAATACAATCGCCTTACACACACAACAAAGCAGTTAGAGCTATTTATTCATACAATTTGAGCCAAGCCAACAGGTTCAGTGTACAGGATGTTGTGCAGATCTACTGCGAACCATCTGGAAGCCTGGTCTCCGAGGAGACGTCGTCACTGGGGGTGGACAAGGCTGCGATGGACGCAGAAGAGTCACCGCAGATTCGATTTCTGCTGGTAAGAAAGGACTGTCGGGGAGTGGAGGTGCAAATCGGGTAACCCATGAAAAATCTGTTTTGGTTGGGGACGGTAGTAGTCGGACTAGAGCCAAGTGAAAATTCTACAGAGGGTTTCTTCACTTCGCCTTCTGTCCTAGCCTGGTCGCCAACAGCCTTGGTGGCACTGGCGGTCATTATGCCGCACAAACTGTTCAATCTTTCTGAGTTAGCCACACTGCATTTAAAGAGCAGATCGCTTCGGTTAATCCTCGTTATGGTGTCCGCCAAACGCCTTTTGCGCATTGCACGTTCCTCCTTAGCCTTGCGCAATACCTTCGAACAGTCGAGATGAATCGCTTCAAGGGATTGGCGATTCCGCGCAGCTATCTCTTGGGCCTTGCGTTCAGGCCTTGAGGACTCGTTGGCCTGACACGACTTAGCCGCCAAATGCTCCTCTTTGATGTCGCCATCACGAGACACCTGGCTATCCACTTCGCAACGCTGAAGGTCTTCCCCCTCCTCCTGTGCCTGTTGACGTTCTTTCTTTGCAAGTCGTTCTTTTGACAGTTTGCGTTGTTCAGTTATTGTTACACTACAAGTGCCACCGGCGTTCAACTTTCTGGTTTGGGCGCGTACGGTTCGTGTGGAAAGGGAGACGGAATGCGAAGCTAAACTGCTGAAATCCACAGTAAGAGACACCACCACACGATCATCATTAGCAGATGGGACGGAAGTCTGATCCGGTGAACCTGACATCATGCAAGAAGAACGCACTTCTTGTCTTGACCAGTCGAGACGCAATAAGGTAGATATTCAGCCCCCATGGGGTTTTTATACCTAAACTAGATTGAATCGTGCGTGGCGCGCAGCGAGTGAGCACAGTTTGCAAGTGTAAGTGAACACGATTCCATCGATTCACGAGAATGACGTTCACGCAACTCTGTTCGTTCACAGATCGATTTGTTTGGCCTAGCGTTTGAACTAGTGTGCAGTCAGATTGATGGTGAATTAATAACATTAAAAAGGACAATTTGTAGATTTGGGTGCGTCGACCCGGATGAAGTGTTTGCAGGGCATTATGCTAAAACCGTAGAATTAAACCGGCATGCTAAACAATGAAAACACGTGAACAAACACTTTCGTTTGCAGCTTGCTGTAGATCTATGCGTCTCGTTAAGTTCACTTCCTGACGACCGTGCCAAATTGATAACTGCTGTTCCCATGAGGACACCTGTTGTAAACCTTGTGGGTCCCATAAAGTCACTAGAATTCCAGCAAAGCATTGATTATGTTTGCTCTACACCGGACGTTGCTTCTTATCCAACACGGTACCAAATACGTGTCCATCCCCTTACACTCCTGGACTTATTATGGCTGCGTGGAGAAATTGTTGCGCCACCAAGTATTGTCAATTCTTTATGATTTCGCTTATTGTGATTAACGGCCAACAAGGAATCCTCTTTTAAATAGTTGCGCGTGTTTTGTCATGTCTGAGGTTCACGAGCATAGCAAGACACTGTGTCGTTGAGTCGTGAGTGTGAGTCGTGGATGAGCTAACACCAAGACCTTGGTGTGAGAATAATTCAGGATAAATGTTTGTGCTAATGAGTGGGGAGTTGAGTATCCTCGCGGAGGTTGGAGTGATCGGATTAACGAGTGTGACCAATGCGATTCGCAACAACCTAATGGCAAGTTGCTTTTCCAATGCAGTACCATCTGCCAAAACCAATGTTACAATGTTCGTTTGCAGATGTATTGTATTTTTGAGTCCCTTCAACCACTAGCACAGACTGTGAAACGCAGATAGAGGCACGTGGGGACGAACAGCGTTCGAACAACCGCAAGCAAACTTAATCAAATGGCATAATGGAACGTTTACACCGACAAATGAAAGCCCGTGGTGACCAATGTCGTTGGACAGACGCATCAATCCTCTACAACGAACTATTAGCAATCGCGCTTGAATGTAACCTGTTCGCTGACATGACTGGGTCAAAGACCCATCCCTATTTTCCATTAGTTACTGTTACCAATCACCCAGTTTCCGCCCACTCGTCCACACACAGAGCCTCAATTGACTCGCCTGATGCTAACAGACGGTTGTGTCCGTCGCCGTCCCCTCTATTCTTTCTTCTATCAGGGTGTTAAGAATCACGAAAAGGATGTTTGTAATGTGGTGCCATGCAAGTTTGACAAATCTGGCAAAATATTGTGTCATTGGTCTGCGGCGCAGCTGCTGCCCTTTCAAGATCAAAACAGGGAAGTAATGTGTGATGAATGAGTGCTGGAGAAAGGGCATTGGACAAGTCATTGTGAGTTACATCAACGTCGCGAATAGTGGTTGTGAAGTGTAAAAGTCAAAGTAGTACCAGGATTTGCGTAAGGAATACCGATGAGATGGGTGATGGAATTCGTGAATCAAGGACCTTTTATCCGTACACTTGTGGAACTGCGTCTTGTCAGGAGGTAAGTAAATTGTTTCGTAGCAATATTAGTACCCTGAACCTCTCCGGATATGGGCTGCAACGGGTCTGAGTTTGTTTTCCCTTTCAAAACAAAAGCCTTAGTGGCTGAGATTGGCTATATTGCTTTTGCTGCAGGAGTGATGGAAAAGCAGTCTGAGAATCATCTGTTTTGCGGAGAGAAGCTTTGCTTCGTTCCCACGGTCTCCCATGACATCTGCTTGTGCGTTTGCTTCAAGCAATTCATTTAAGGCAAGTAGATAAGATGAGACAAAATGTTGGTGGCATTTGCCATGTACGGTACTGACCAAAACTGCTGTACCCGTGGTTCGACAAACGCTTCCCCCGTTTCTATTAAATCTGATCGAGGTGCTCAATTTACCTCTTGTTCATTTCGCGAATTGAGTCACATTCTTGGCTGCAATCCACTCACGAGTTTTGCTTCTCCATTACAGTGCCGCGTAACGGACCAACGGGAGAACAGGACAACCAGACCAAGGATATATGAACATCCTGTTTCCCCTTACGCCCGACCAGTTTGTGACTGGATTGTAGCTTGTTTTGCCTCTATTAAAGGACTCCATTTTGCCTCCCTCCCTACTTGTCTACACTATGAGGCCGAAGCGTGCACAGCACTCCTTGGCCGCGAAATCATCAACACCATGGCAGTGAATCGTAATGATGTACTAATGCGAATGTGCTGGAGTAAGTGAATAAATGTGCATTTTGTCCTTATCGATTTCAAAAGCCCAACCATTAACTGAGGATATAATTTAGAGGGCCACTCAACGTGAGGGTTCTATACAAAGCGAAGAAAGGGCCACGACTGTGCAGACTTCAGTGGCTAGGTTGTGAACGATTAGCGTCACCTCTTAAGTGGTCACTTGAATTCCCAAACAGAGTTTGACATAATCAGAGTGTAGCTGGCCCGGGTGCGGTTTTGAGGAACCACACCAGGCCCGGCGATCTACACTGACAAAGCCCGACCGGAAGTTAAGTAAAAATGCAGATGACGCGTAGCTAAACTAATTTATTGATGCAGCATCGGTGTGGGTACAGGATACCAAGTGCGTTTGCATGGCTTCGCTAAATATCGATTTCTGCACGCACGTAGTTGCGTGAAGTTCATTCACGAAAAAAATCGATTGAACTGTGTCCGCTCACGCTGGCACACTGCGTTCGCTCACGACTGCTCGCATGCTCCTCGCCACAAGAGCATCTAGGAAATTTAGAGGCGGGGGTTTGTACGACCTGAAAGGATCTGGCAAGGAGTTTTTAAATCAATTAATTTATCCTAATAACTGAAAAATTTAAATTATTTTAACACGTGCAAAATCGAAGCATGTCACACGGCAGTTGCCTATGGTAGAACTTGTCCCGAATAACCGTCTTAGTTACCAGAGTTGACAAGCTGAAGACAGAAGATGATGGCTGAGACACAACCACCTACTTGATAGCTCAAACTAGTTGTAAGCGTAGCAGCGCCACCGTGCATAACAAAGCCATGTCCTACTGATGCTTGATGTTGTTGTCGCCCGATACAGTCTGGGTGAGAAACGGGGACAGTACTTGCACCAAGAGTGAGCAGACGGTTCCACGTGGCTGATGGACGCGTTGAGAGAGTGGAAGTGGGGTGGGGGTAGCGGGAGGGTGCCGAAAATACGACGAACCAAGCCATTAGATGCTGAATGGTATGCTGCGATTCAAAAATGCTTAAATGCAATTCTCCAAATATCCGTTTGTTAATAAAATATGTGGCTACGGAAGTTATCGAAACGAAGCCTTCTGGAAACATGTATAAAAAAAATTGTTTCGACATTATTTGTATGCAAGGATGCTTTATGACTAGTCAAAAACGAAACACGTGGTGTATTCAAACCGTAACTGTAAAAAGCAAAAAAATGAGAAAAAAAGTTGAAATGTTCAACGGAGTAAGCAAAACAGATCAGCATATTGGTAAATAAATTGAATATTAAATGTAATGCTGGATTGGTCTTCGTTTTTCCCAATTTAGCAGCTACTGAATGAAAATTATTCAAATTGCTTGCTTTTTTCAAACAGCAACAAGCAAATACCCGCTGCTCCAAGTAATTCACGTGTGATATGCCACTTTTAAAGACGAATCTTAATGGATGCGGGTGGGTATGTAGTTTTTGCTGTAGGATTGAGGCAAAAGCAGTGTGAGAAGCACCTGTTGGCGAAGAAAAGCTTAGCTTCCTTCTCACAGTTTTCCGTGACATCTGCTTGTGCATGCTTAATAGCTTGAAGAGCAGTAGTAGACTCCTTAGGAGGCGTTTGCCAATTGCAATTCATTTAAAGCAAGTCGATAAGTCAAGACAAATGTTGGTGGCATTTACAATGTACCAATCTGAGCAGCTGACCGAACTGCGACAACGAAGTAAGCTATGGGTTTATTGTGCCATTGGATACTGCCGCATCGCTTGTGGTTTCTCAGTTAGGGTTCTGTGCCATCTGCGTCAATGTTAACTGTGTCCACATTGGAAATGCGTTTTGGAGGGCTTATTGTGATGCAATAATCGTAAAGACGGGTCACAATTGACTGTAATGGTGTACTTGTGTCATTTATGGCATGGCAGGTAAAAGGAAGAGCTTGATTTCGGATTCGATAGATGGCGGGTGAAAGGAAAGCTTGCAAGTGACCAGCCTTATGGCAGGTAATTTTGGACAAATGATTTATCCTAGTTACCTTAAAGACCAAGTCAACCCCTACGTGGCCGGTGTTAGGCACGCACTTAAGTATTGAAAAGAATCAGAATGATGGCAACAAGGAGGTCGTCAGGGTCAGCGCGGTATGTTTTGAGAAGGAGGAGCGCGTTGCTGGTGAGTGACATGAGAAAGGCTTGGTTTTTAGGCGTTGTAAACAGACTGCATGATGAGATGTGTGCACACGATATAATGGTACTTGAGTGAAGGTGTTGGTGGTTGTGAGACTGTTGGTTGAGTTTATATTGTCAGTGTTTTGTGAGAGGCAGTCATTTTGGGTGAAATAAACATCTGAAGCAGCGTAAGCCATTAATTCCCGATTACTGGACATTTGGGTTCTGATATACTTTTATGTCAGATTTGCTCACTCTCGAATATAAAACGACTGGACATCGAGCGTGTACTGTCGAAGGCATTGCAACGCCTTTTGGTGCATTGAACTTGGCAGATTAGAAAGAAAGTAACTGAATTCATTGTAGTTTTGGTTTGGTGTTCAGTTGAATTATCAACTGAAAGGAAATACATTCAGTATCTCCTTCGCAGATATCTGCATATTTATATTGAACACGC